GCATCTTGCAGTTGATGGAGATTTGTGGGATGCACATCCAGGGCACGAAGCTCCCGTTCCACCACATCCCAAAGATGCTCTATTGGGTTGAGATCTGGTGCAGTCTGAACTCGGCATAAGGGGCCAAAAGTGTGTCAAGAAAACATCCCCCACACCATTACACCACCACCACCAGCCTGCACAGTGGTAAAAAGGCATGATGGATCCATGTTCTCATTCTGTTTACGCCAAATTCTGACTCTACCATCTGAATGTCTCAACAGAAATCGAGACTCATCAGACCAGGCAACATTTTTGTAGCCCATCCGCCTCAAGGTTGTGTGTGTTGTGGCTTTGGTTGTAACGAGTGGTTATTTCAGTCAAAGTTGCTCTTCTATCAGCTTGAATCAGTCGGCCCATTCTCCTCTGACCTCTAGCATCAACAAGGCATTTTCGCCCACAGGACTGCCGCATACTGGATGTTTTTCCCTTTTCACAGCATTCTTTGTAAACCCTAGAAATGGTTGTGTGTGAAAATCCCAGTAACTGAGCAGATTGTGAAATACTCAGACACCAACAACCATGCCACGCTCAAAATTGCTTAAATCACCTTTCTATCCCATTCTGACATTCAGTTTGAAGTTCAGGAGATTTTCTTCTTCTTTTAGAGTTTAGCTGGCGGATAGCAAACCAACTTAAGGTGCATTTACCGCCACCTACCGGACTGGAGTGTGATCATCGAGAATAGTCAGAGGGAAGTACACTTATACCTATAGTATAAACATTCAAATATTAAATACGGTAAAACAACCCTGTTTTTGAGAAACTTTATAACTTGGTTTTTAATACTTTTGGATATATCTCCTAATATATTAACTAAAGTGAGTGTTTTCCCTTCTTTATGGTGGATTGATGTTAAACAATTACGCTCTTCCTTGTAATTACTGCACTCTATTAGGACATGTTCAGCTGTTTCTGGCTGACCGCAAAATTCACAGGCTCCTGTATGATGTTTCCCTATAATGAACAAAGATTTATTGAGACCTGAATGTCCAGTCCTTAAACGCGTCAGGAGATTGTCTTGAGCAGGACCACACCCCTAAATGCATTGAAGCAACTGTCATGTGATTGGTTGATTAGATAATTGCATCAATGAGAAATTGAACAGGTGTTCCTAATAATCCTATGTCTAGTTGTTATTCACCCATCATTTCCCTTTGATTTTAGGGATTACTTAAGGTGACAGTTAAGTTTAAAAGAAATGTATCTTCATATCTGCACATAAAGTTTAACATTACGGGTATTTGCCCACACATGAAAACATGTCGGGGCTGAAATCTATCATGTTTGAGTTAAGAAGTAGTCTGACAGGGAACAAATTGGAACTCAGTATTTATATCCAGCCTAAACATCTTTATATATTTAAATGTGTATTACTTGTTTTGTTTATGAAATATCATGTCATTTGACTGCAGACTCTCCTGCAGTGTTTTGACGTGTCTTACAGCGGCTCCTAGTGGCGACAGCGTTTACGCTGTGAGTCATGAGAGTTATGGTGATGTGGGAGAGAGCCAGTGGCCTTTCAGTGAGTGCCAGTCTTAATGCCAGCTACATTCTATATTAAGCATTACCATCCATTGATGTGCTGGCATATAGAATATCTCACACCCCTCAGATTGAAAAGAGACAGTGTGCGCAGCGTTCTGATATTCGGGCTGGATATTCTATCCTCCACCGCCGGCCTGCCAAACCTCACACACTGCCTTTACCACACAGCTGGACTTACAAACACAAGGAAGCATGTGTGCATTCAAGCATGCAAGTTCATGACTGCATACATGTGTATGTATACGTCTGTGTGCATGTTGTGTTTACATGGGCAACATGTGTGTTTGATGTAAGTAAACTGCTAAAACCTATTTTTATCGTGGTCCCATCCATTCAGAGGAAGTGTCTCCGATTTCACAAACTGCACAGCAGGTACGAGGAGCAAAGATGCTGTCAACACGCATCGAGTCTAGAGACGGATACTTGTGCTAGTTTGGAATTTTGCACTGCAACACTTGCTGCCAAATCACTTTCATTTGTGTCCATTTTACAAGTACTTATAAATCTTGCAAAATGACATGCAACTAACCTTAAATGCAATTAAAATGGGTCAACAGAATGTTCAAAAGGGACCATCAAATTAAAGTGTAACAGTGCAGTACTAAGTAACTTTGCAACTGCATGTCAACTAACTCTCATATTGGCTTTATTATCTCTTTATTGTGATGCTCCTCAACAGACATTCAACTAAGTAACTTTGCAAGTGCACGTCAACTTATTCTAACCCGAACCCTAACGTAACAGTCTACTTACTAAGAGTTAGTAGACATGTAGGTGCAACCAGAATGTGTTAAAAAGACCATCAAAATAAAGTGAAACCAATGTGTCTGTGTAGCCTAATGAAGAGCAACGCATTTTCACCCCAAGGGGTCACCTTTGACCATGCTTCAATATTTGACGCTTTAGGCGCCCTTTATAGCGTCAGTTACATGACGCGATTCTATGGCGTCGTCTAACTGACGCTAAAGGAAAAGCATCAGTTAGATGACGCCACATGCGATTGTTACTCAGATTTAAGCACAAATAGGCTATATGGGAAAATATAAACATCTCCAATACTGGCTTAGTCAACATTTTAGTGACGCCTGCACTGTAAAAATGAATATGCTTTATCTAATCAGAATTGAGTAATACTTAATCAAAATATTCCTTAAAAGTTAACCATTTAAAATTAGTAAAGTTTACACCAAAAAAATAAACAAAAATATGTGAATAACAGACAGACGTCAAAGATAAATTATTTTATATTATCTTTATTTTATATTGCTAACATTGAAGACACCTGATGTTAACAAGCAGAAAAACGTCATTTTAAAGCAAACCTAAAACAAACACTGAGCACCATAATGGTGACTTAAACATACTTTCTAAAAAAAGTTTTACTCATTTTAAATGGTTGACTTTTAATGAATTAATTTGATTAAATACTACTCAATTCTGTTGTTAAATGTAATTAATAATATTGCTTATAATCTGTTGCCACATTTTTTTTATTAGATAAAGCGCATTCATTTTTACATGAGCTAAATTAATCAAGGAAAATTTCTTTATGGTTTTGTGTTAAAGGTTAGCGAAACAAGATAAACATGCAAGCTATCCATCAAAGATCAGTCATTCTGATCTGAAAAACTTGCGCGTCTTACAAGTGTCAAAAGTAACACTAAGTTTTATGAGACAATGATGTTATCTGGTCGTACAGGAAACAGACAAAAAATGAAATGATCTGCACTAGTAGCCTATGGATAACTGTCAACATAGCTACTGTATTTTCTGCAGATGTCAAGTGTTAATATAGGGAACGATCATATGCATTGAGCGTATGTTATTACAACCGGAATAATATTTGATGTGCGATGATGCTCTCTTTGGAAAATCGCATCGGAAACCACAGAGTTAAGTCCTTGCTAAACCTTTGGATGGGTCACAAATGCATTTAATCAATCCTTTAAACCTAATTACACGCGGCCGCTACCGACACTGCATGATCTTCAGGGTCAAACGTTTCTGTGCACGTCCAACGTTGGCTGATGTATTACAACCCGGATTAATGACATGAAAATGTCTTGTGAACTTCGCACAATGTTTCTCATTATGGAATGATATCGCACCTGTTGCTTTCATACCTGACTGCATCCTATGTTGCATAGTCAAGTGTGTGGCAACAGTTCTCGAAATAGATAAATGTCCTGTGGCTTCCAAGAGTTTGTGTTCCTTGGGGCAAGTAAGAGGAGAATACGTCATTATTTTACCACAGATATACCCAACTCATTATGTGTGACAGTTTAAATGAATGAAACAAAAGCGGTTTGCAGAATGTGCACACACCTGAACTCTGAGGTCATTGAAGCGCTCAAAACATGGTGTGCAAAAAAAAAAAAAAAAGTTTAAAGATGAAATATGATGCTGTGCAATCATAAATCATCAGTGAGGTGTGGTGATATTTCAAGGGAATGTCAACTATTAATCTTTTCAACTGTCAAAACATTTCTGTGGCCATTGTTTTATTATTTAAATGTGTAATTTAATGCAATTTGGTTCAAATAAGATGTGTAATGTATATATGAGATGAATGTTAGATGTTGAAAATATCAGTCAACAGTCAGACAAAGTTAATGTAAAGGTAATAAAATGCATAGGCTATATGTTCACGCAATTGAATCAATCACATACAATTTTATATTAAATGTAATTGTAAAAATAAATATGTAAAAACGTTATTGAACAAACAGTTTTACAGTGTAACTCACGACCTACAAACATGTTTTGAAATGAAATGCGTCCGATCAACTTATTTAAATATAAACGTACTAAAGCGCGCGTAACAATGCAAGCAATGTTTATTATAGTTTAATTAACGGCAAAAATATCAACAATAAACACCAGTTTCAATAAACACCGTTCCTTCTCATAACAATGGTTCAGTAATATTTTATCCTCTACTATTACTGAAATGAACACATTATAAGAAAGCAAAATACGTGCACTCAAATCGGGGAAAGCATCCTCCAAATTAGTATTGTATTGTTAAAAAAAATATTGTTCAAATATTCAAATGCGTGCTCTTTCATGTTTCATGCTCACTGTAGAAAGGTTTTCATTGTTAAACCTTCCTTTTAACTTTTCACAAACATTTGAGTAGTTTCTTATAATATTATGACTATATTTTCCGCTCGATTTTATTTAGGCCTATTAGTAATTGCAATAAAATTCAAAAAGTTGAACGCGTCAGTTTTTAGTTTGGGTTGAATTTGCAGTGCAGTGCAAGTGTTGTTGTTATTTTTTCAGTTATGATTACAAATATAAAAGTCAAAGAGAAGACAAAGAAAGTGAAAGATATTAAACCCCGTTGAATGCAGCATTTCAAATAATAAACAACAAAATCTCTTGAAAACCTGCGAATTGGCGTCACTTACCCGGGCATGAGTGCAGAGGTTTGGGTCTGACGATTAAAGAGGGGCAAACCGAGTAAAGAGAAAGTTTCTCGAAGTAATCACATGTTTCCTTGGAGAGGATCTCGTCGATCATGAAAGTCTTGTATCGTCTTCTGACTGCTTTCAGCTGCGCGCTGCTCGCGAGTCTCAGCTCTGCTTGGCAATGCATAGTGTCCAGATACGCGCCTTCAGCGTGACGCTCGAGACAAAAGCTCTGAAATTCGCCTCGTTAAAAGTTGTGTAAAGCTTATTGCATATGCTACTGACCTAAAACGACATCTCATCTGAACAGCCCTGGCGTGCTCTCGCTGCTGGTGTCTGCAGCTCTCATTCATGAAGCGAGTGCGCGCTGCGCTCTGAGTCACCGCTATATAAACCAGCTCTCCTGTCACTACACAGCAGACACACTTCACGTCAATCACTCTCTCTCTCTCTCTCTCTCTCTCTCTCTCTCTCTCTCTCTCTCTCTCTCTCTCTCTCTCTCTCTCTGTACTGAAAAAAAACGGGTTTCTGCACCCCCAACTCTGAGTTAATTTTGATGGAATAACAGTTAATTTAGTGCTCGTTTAAAAGTCAGTATTTCTAATTAGAAGTATTATGATCAGTATTATTATTTTTGTTTTATCTATCTATCTATCTATCTATCTATCTATCTATCTATCTATCTATCTATCTATCTATCTATCTATCTATCTATCTATCTATCTATCTATCTATCAAAAATCAGTCGTTTATCTGCAGAGGAAACGTGCTTTATTACAAATGATAAAGCTTCGCAATAGGCTTTGTTTCCTAAAATCGAAAATGAAGTTCAGTCAGATTAGATTGTTTACAGTAAACAACAAACTGATTTGGATTTGATGGAATTACAGTTAATTTAGTGTTCATTTAAAAGTCTGCATTTCTATCTATCTATCTATCTATCTATCTATCTATCTATCTATCTATCTATCTATCTATCTATCTATCTATCTATCTATCTATCTATCTGAATTATTCTAAATAAAATATATTTGAACTGAAGTAAACATGGATCGGGTATGCTATTTATTTAAAAGAGTATAGCTTTTAAATTGAAAAGGCAACGAATTTGAATCATTTAAGGATTTCTTTTATTGCGGTTATTTCTTGCGGCTGTTGTGGAAAACTCCTGCCGATGAAACGTGCGAGTCTTAAAACTTTCAGCGACTATTTCACTTGCCAGAACAAGCGGCATCACTCATTCACAAATGAAGGGCAAAGTTACAACAAGAGGAAATCACTGCGCGGGCTCTTCTTTTCTTTAAAATAATAATAAATGGCATAATGGCATTACTTTTATTAATATCTAACAGTCACAAAAATTATCAAGATTATCAATATATCAATATTTATATATAGGCCTATATACACGCGCACACACACAACAGTTCTTGGTTATATATTTTAATAAGACATTCGTTAGCTGTTAACGGGTTGTCTAATAATTATAACAGCGGAAGAGAAAAGATACCAAGCCCAGTTTGTAATGAAGGGCTATATTTGATCAAATGATTACTTTTTATTGACTTTAAGAATTTGGAAATGTTTAGCTACATTAAACGTAATTCTGTAGTAGCCAAGTCTAATCAAATATTCGATTGTTAACGACACTTCTGTTATAACTTAAATTTAATAAATTAGCCTACAGACGGAGTGCATTTTATTTTGTGATGTTAGCGGTTTGTTTCTGGAGGAGCAATGATGTAATAATGATGCAATTGATATTATAAAAATAAATACCTTATAGCCTATTGTGCATTAGGCTATACACTTCCAATGGTCACTGAGATCCCAAAAATAAAAGAGCGTGAATCTCTATTTGAAATCGTAGGCCTATGCTACCCCGTAGCAAATAAAATATTTTTTATAGGCCTATAAAAAAATAAAATAATGTATTTGCATAGCGTTTTCCACAATATAAAGCAGCTTCACAGAATCTGATCTGTTTTCAGAGGTGACTGTGTCCACGAAAAGTCCATATTTCACAAATAGGCTACATTTTAAGATAATAAACACACAGTTTTAGCTATCATGTATTAATTTTAGGCAGAAACAATGCGCTCGTTAAAGTGGCCTATCATGCAGTGACAGTTCTGAAAAGGTTCTGTTTCCCTTTGTTTAGCAAAAAATCGTTGTAAAAATAATATGTTTAATAAATAAATGAAGTCATGCCCCCCTGCATTGCTTCTGTAAGAGTCAACAGGTGCTGAAGTGTTGCTCATATCCGACCGTGTGAAATGATGGAGGTGAACAGATATTCCTCTCGGTTTTGTTCCAGAACAGTGAGAAAGACCGCTCTTTCCAGACAGCTCAGTTTAGTTGGACATGATGATGCTTATTACAGATGGAGCGCTGCTTTGATGTGAGTGTCGGGTTTCTGTGAGTCTCTGTCCAAATGATTATCATTTTCCCATGTATGAGAGTAAATATAACTCGAGAGAGTCCGAGATAACAGCCGCCGTGTTCAAAGCGCGAGGGATTATGTAAAGGAAATATAAAGATCTCCACTGGAAAAGCTTTGAGCTCTTTCTGTTCGATCAAAGGAAGAAACGAGAGAACAACTGCTGGATCTAAAACAGGGGGATAAAACAGAATATCAAGATAAACTGACAGACAGTAAAGAAGTCAAGTGGACTCACTGCGGCACCTGTTAACTGATGGATGGATGGATGGATGGATGGATGGATGGATGGATGGATAGATAGATAGATAGATAGATAGATAGATAGATAGATAGATAGATAGATAGATAGATAGATAGATAGATAGATAGATAGATAGATAGGAAATATTAGAGGATGTATTGCGTTGATATAGCCAGGCCTGTATTATTGATATATTACACTGATGACGTAGTATAGCCTAATAACCTTACTAAACATATTTAGATACGGGAAATCGCAATGGAAGATGATTTCGATATATCTAGGCTAAATATGTTTAGTGAAAGGTAAAACTTCCAGAATCTCCGTGTAAACAATGCATAAAGTAGCTATAGATGAGTGAGAGATCACTTCCGGCGTAACGTTGGTAATAGTTCAGTTCGGTTCAGTTGGACATCTGATTCAGATCAGTTTGATAGCTGTTAAAAAGAGGTAAAAACTATATAAATACTATTCGTTTTCTCACACAAACCGCTCGTTTCGTGTCTTAGGCCATCAATGTGTAGCATTTATGTGTCATTAAATCATGTTTAATTTTGACTTCTCTGTGCATGCTCTTTGTGGTGGACCCCCTAAAGCTGCATTATATGACTGACAGACAACACCGGTTTGACAGAAAAACGTCAAAATTGAAAATACTGTGGAAACAAAGACACCTACATGGATGCCCTTGAGGTAAGCTAAAACATATCAAAAATTAATTTCAAACAAAGTGAACTATCCCTTTAAATTGTGTTTTTCCATTACACGATCTGACGATCTGTACACATACATAGGTCTACGTTAAAATTTGAATTTTTTAACAGGTAGAATATTTCAACTTAAAATGAACTAGGAATTTTTTTTTAAAAAAGTTCTAATTATTATTATTATTTATTTATTTTTTTGCAGAGGAAATGTAGGCCTAAATGTAGCCTATAGACCATGAAAAATACTCGAAGAGACAATGACAGGAGTCAGTAATCGCCTGTTATTAGTGTGCAGAGAGACAGAAGAGGCGCAGTGTGAGGCTACAGTTCAAGCCTCCGGGATCGCGACGCCGAGCAGCTCAACCTATTAACCAGCGCTTTATTCGGTCCGGCAGATTCATTACAGCGAGAACACGATCCTCCACAGATTAATGCCTGACGCTTCTGGAGCGAGGAGCTTTGCGGGGATGTGCGGCTTCACACACACCGGGAGCCGATGTTAGCTGCTAAAGCACTTTCGGAAGGGCAGATTATGACCTTATATCGGACATTAAAAGATTCCTGCGGGGTGTCTCTGAACACTGGCTGCTTTCGACTATTAATGTTCCCGTCCACTTCCCAGGATATAGCCTTCCTAATCCGCCATTTTTTTGCACAAAAAAGAGAAAATATGTAGGCTATATTTTCGCAGGAAATGTTTATTTATTATAAGATATAGTTTTATTAATTGTAGCCCACAGAAATTTGGCGAATGATTTTATTTTTATTCTCGAGTGATTTGATTTTTCAACGGAACACTTGTCATAGGCTAAAAATGTGTCATATTTTTTGCACACACATACAAAAAAAGGTAGTTAGGCTACTTAGAAAGAAAAAATGACATATTTTTAAAACTTCCCGGGTTGCAGGAAATTCCTTATTTATTATTTAGGTTATAGATTTAAAATTTTAGCCCATGCACAGTAATTTAACGAATAAGCTTTTCATTTTTTATTTACGAGAGATTAATGTTTAAACGGAAGACGTGTCATACATTGGTGAATACGTATTTCCCCCCTCTAAATATCAAGAAGTACTCCTGAAAAATAATTGTATGGTAAAAACAAATCAAATACCGACATCTGAGCAAATGAGAATGCTCTCTATAAGCTACAAACTTTCCAAATTAGAAAAATTGTCCTCCTTCAGATGATATGGCAGGGATGTTTCTGTAGCTCTAAATTATATTTAAACTTGATAATTTATTTAAGACTTACACAAGTAAGTCTTTGTGTAAGACTTTTAAGTTAACATGTTTTACATAAATTTAAATGCCATATATATTTTGCTATGTGCATTTTACCCAACATGTAACACCCTACATTTCCATAACTTTAAAATGCATTAGAAGCCAGAATTATAAATATTATGCCTAAATAAGCTTCAACTGGAAGGAAGTATGGCGCTACCTACTGGACAGACTACAAAATTTATCATAATCAGTTAGTAGCTGAATTATAGAAACCAATCAACATGGTCTTAATATGGATCTAATGCAATGTAAGGGAGTGCAATATATTCATTCACAAGAGAAAAAGATCAGTGAAAGAGTGACTTTTATGAAAACAAACAAATAACCAAATGATGCACTTGACAATAAAAAATGGTGTATTTACAAAAGTATTAAAAGTAGTTACTGTTCCAAGTTTTCAAAGAGCGTCTTAATTAAGAGTCAATATAATCCTTCTCCCAAAAGAGGAACGTAGAAAGTAAAACAATCTGCTTTTTAAAAAACATTAAACATTGTTACTCAAACATAAAGAATAGAAAACTAGTTTTCAGATGCTTTCTGTGAAATCCTGAGAAATTACAAATTTCTATAAAAACAAAAATCCACCATTGCAAATTTGATTATTTGATGCACTTTGATGTTGTACATAGAGAAAGTTCTCAAAAAGAACATTCCTAAAAATAAAAATGTATATAAACATAGGTGTCCCCCTGAGATCGAAACATATATCTTTTTTTTTTAAAATAGGGCGTCACTCGTCTTTTTTCTTTTCTTTTTTTGTTCTTGCATCTCAAAGAGATTCTAGTCAACATGCCTAAACCTTGTGTCAAATTTGTTGTCCCCCCTACAGTTGTACTGCAATTTCTTTTGTTAAAACAGGTAATATGTAATCCACCTGAATAGATGTAAAAATCTATGAGGAAAACAAAAGATAAAAACAGCTCATAAAAAAAGAAAATGGTTTTCAGGAGAACTAAAGTAGATTTTTTAAAAGCGCTTCCACCGGCCGTCCCGTGAGTCTCTGCGCCTCTCAGGGGTGTGATTGCGGTTTCCTCCGGTGCGCTCGTCCTGGTGATGCAGGTCTCCCCGATGGCTGTCGCGCCAGTGGCGGTCGTAGTTGTTCCCGCTGTTTGTGTGCCGTTGGTGATGGTTGTTATTGTCCTGGGGAGAGTGGCGATGACCTCGCTGGCCTGACCAGTCCGGTTGCCATGGGTTACCGTCTCCGGTGCCCCGGAGCTGCTGCATGCTCTGCTGGAAGGCCCCGTTAAACTGCTGCAACTGTTGCTGCATCTGGACCTGCCACATGTTGTTCATCTATTCAAAAAAAAAAAAAAAATAGTGAATGACAACTTTAAAATGCACCAGGGTATACATTTACATGTGCCCATGCAGAAATAAAATGTAGATGAATCAACAGAAGTTTGAATGTGGAGGTGTCCTGACCATCGCCTGTCTCTGCAGACTGTCCGGAGAACTGAAAGACCTCTGGATGTTCTGTGGAGGAGAGTAGGACGGAGAGCTCATCTGCTCTGGGGTTCTGCCAGAACAACACAACACACACTCATCAGCTCAGGGGAAACACACAAATTCAACAGTCTGAAAACTATTCTTCTTATCTGGCATTTTCTCATTTTCTAAGTTAAGGAAAAATAAAATAAGCCATAATATGTCGCAACACAAAAATGCAACCATACGTATTGTGTTTTGTATAACACGTATTGTGCATGTGTACGTGTGTATAACACAGTACGATAATGACAATATGTATCGTAGAAAAAACATTCTTACAAAAGATTAATATATTATGTTGATTATAATGCATAATAATGCAATGGGGGAATATTTGTGGGTCCTGATAATGGAAAATGACTTATGCAAGTTAATATACATATAATAAACATATCTAGACAGAAAAAGTGCAAGAATATTCATCTAAAATAATTCTATATTTTCAGCTTCAGAATCATGAATATTTTTATTCTGGGATCTCTATTGTCCTTGGGTTACAAGCACCGAGTCCAAGCCAATTCATTTAAACCCACAATGTAATATCGAAGTTAGTATTTTAATCAAAAGTACATTTTTTGTTATCCTTTTATCATATTTTTTTGGAGTATCGCAATAATATTGTATCGTGATATGCATCAAATCATGATGTGAGGGTATCGTTACACCCCTGATAATTCAGCTTTCCTTTCCAGGAATACATTTCATTTTAAAATAAATTACAAAAGGAAACATCACATTTCTATCTATTCACAATCTTCATCATTCACAATCTATTGAATAGTATCGTATACGCAATCACAAAGTCAAAGATTCAAAAAAACTACATTACAAAACAAAGATTACCTTCCACCGCGGTGACCTGGTGTATTTGCTGGACTGGGGTTTTGAGAGTTTGCCGGACTTTTGCCTTCCTGATTAATATGACTGCTTCCTGTTAGGACCACAACAGGTTTAGATGATGATTAATCAGTCACTGTTTTACTGTAATTAATGTGGAAAGAAAATGTGACAACCCTTTCACAGCCCATTTTATTTCTGTAATGTGATCGTTCCATTTATTTATGATTTAACATATCAGCAGCAATGGCTATATTAATGACAAAATAAAAAAAAAAAATATATATATATATATGATTACAATGCCATTTCAATACATTATTTACAATTTAACAACTTTGACTTGAGAAAAAATGTTTTTTCGTCCTTTGTAAACAAAACAAAACGATTTCTCTTCCCCTTTCAATAAATATAAAAGAGCGAGTCTTGAGTAAGTTTGTTAGATATGCATTCATTCAATTAGCCATTTACAGTTTGCAGATTTAATAATTAATAATGATTTTTTTAAATATTTCAACCTGATTAACTCACAAAATGACCAAAAACTACCATTAAATAAATGTTCAACCTTAAAATGACTTACATATGTTCTTAAAAACAATTGTAAAATATTGTTCTAACTCTTAAAAACATTATTGAGTGGCTATGCTGGAATGATGGACGGTGACGAACCTAATGAACACCTATAGCAGTATAACATGGAAACTCCTACCGGATCTGAACTGTATGTTGAGCTGCCGTCCATGTAGACGGATTCCATTGAGCAAGTTCATTGCGTAGGGCACAGACACTTCATGTTTAAAGTTCACAAATGCAAACTGTTTTGATTTTCCATCATTGTCTTTGGGGATTTTGACTTTGATTAATGGCCCAGCCTAATGGAAAGAAATACAGGAGAGAGGTCTGATGAAGGAACTACTGGGAAAACACTTTCCATGCACTGGTTATTTTTGAGATGTTGGCCTATTCTGCTTCTTCAACAGGTCTGCTTTAAAACTAGTGGAAAGAAAAAGATCCAATATACACATTTATGTCTTTATTTTATTACACCATCTACTTGTGCCAGTCTATTTCAATTACAATAATACATATTTAAAGTCTATTTTGGTCATATTTTTTTCTCCTGCACAGAAGCTACACTTTAGTAACACGTACATACACCAAACGATATATATTGTGAAGATTTATTCATTCATAATTTGCCTGATTTATATTGAACAAAATGAAACAAAGCTGGCTTTATCCAATTTTGAAATACACGCCTAAATGACAGCAAATTTAAAAATAACATTAGAGAAATCATGCAATACAAAACAATTGTCTTAATGTAACGTTACTGTGATTAATCATGTAACGTTAGGTGATAAGTATTCGTTGAAATGTTAACTCTATTCACCTGTAGCTATCGCTTAATGAACGACACTAATTACACTAAAGGCAATATAAACGAATGGCTAGAGCGAAAGTGTGTTTGCAAAGACAACAAAAATAACGTAACAGCACAACACGGTGATGGCACTTTATATAAAACGATACTTATCTGTCATACACGCGTCTAATTATTTTGCAAATCGAGCTACAACTAACAGCAAACAGTCGAGTTAGCATTAGCATTAGCACGCTAATCAATGACGCTACAGCAAGTACCTGTAAAAACAGCTCGAATATAATTTCTTCTGTTACTTGAGGGTCCAAGTTGCCGACAAACAGAGTCCGGTCAGCCTCGTCGGCGATTCCCATTTTGTAAAAAAAATGATAATCCAACCGGTTGAATTCGTTAGCGTTACCTCGGTTAGCTTGAATTTATCAGCAACCCATCTGTATTTTTTTTTTTTTAATAAACTCTTTTGCCGTGTGTGAGCAATAACTGTCGTGATGAACAGCCGCTTCACGACACACAGTTCCAACAATTCCAACCTCAGGGTGGCGCTATTATACGCTTGTTTAGAGAATATAACTCACCGTGAGCTAAAAAGGAGCAATTACGTTTAATAAAGCAAAATCAATTTATCCAACCTGGTGCCCCTTGCCCTATAATTAGATTAATTAAGATATATATTTTTTTTTTTATAGGTCAAACCATAAGAACAGAAGGCTGCACTTGTTGACACTGCGGTTGGCTCTGTCACAGTCAGATGACGAACAGCCTGTGACTCACTAAAAAAAGAGTTTGGCGTTTTAGTCTTCAACATTATTTAATAACTACTTTGAGATAAATTAGCCCATTTATAAAGTATATAAATAAGTATTGGCATACAATTCAGTGATGTGTTCAGGTATCACTGATCACTCTTGAATTAAACTGAAGTGAGGTATAGGCCTACAGATTTCATGCTTCATGGCAGTTCAAAATCGGTACCTGGAGAATAAAACGTACAGTATATAACAAGCTGGAATTCTTCAGTTAAACTGGAGAAGAAGTGACACAGTGATGAGTGATATGTTAATATTTTCTAACAACTTGCCATGCAATATTCACAAATGAGTCACTCGTTTTGTTCCAGATATGGTTTAAAATGAAGACCTTGTAAAAATAAATAATGTGTATTGTACTGTATTATGGTAACATGCAAAATGCTCTGTTTTATCAATGACTCAAGATGGATAGTTTTGATGATGATGATGTTGTTTTTGGTGTTATTTCATATTTGAATGATAGGCTGCTGACTTAAACATTTCCAAAACTGATCGTTAAGTTGGGGACAAGTAACAAGTAAACTTACAAGTGGCAATCACATATTTTCATACAAAATCTGAAGCAGCAATGAAATGGTAGTTGTAGTATCATTTTTTATTTTGTAGTGTAACTCTCTCTCTCTCTCTCTCTCTCTCTCTCTCTCTCTCTCTCTCTCTCTCTCTCTCTCTCTCTCTCTCTCTCTCTCTCTCTCTCTCTCTCTCTCTCTCAGGTGTATTTCCGTTATCCAACAGTAGATGGCAATGTTCACCTTCAGAACTGCACTGAGACAACAGACAAACTCGACGACAAACTCCAAAAACATAAAAAAAACAGAGCTAACTCCGTTAAATCTGTTTAGCGAATGTGTATTGTACACATCTCAGTCAGTAAAAGACAGAGTGAGAGAGGACGAAAGGAGCAAAACTACGAAATAAAGCTGCAGTCTTGAGTTTGTTGTCCAACATTTTCTGAGGCGAACTCTAGTCTACAGAGGCTGCTCGACGTCGCAGGTGAGGGATGGATTTCTTCTGTCTTTAGTCACGACCTCGTGTACTATTAAGTGTCATTGTACCCTGACAAGTGACCTGTTCGCTTATAACAAGGTAGACTAGAAAAATTGCATTTCCTGCGGAATATGCGTGTGAATGCTTCAAAAGCTTAACTTAAATGCTTAAAAAAAAATATTGCAGTTCAAACAACAGCAAAACAGAGCAAAAAAGAAAAAAAAGCTTAATTCAAATGCATTTAATAAGCTGAAATGCAAAACAAGATCCAAAAAATTGTAGAAAACTACAAGTTTACTTAGAGAGGTAAAGAGAGGTAGAGATGTAGACACAGAGGTAAAGAAATATAGGGGTAGAGAAAGAGACAGAGGTAGAGAAGTAAAGGAGTACAAAAAAGAAAGGTAGAGAAAGACAGGGGGTAGATAGATAGATAGATAGATAGATAGATAGATAGATAGATAGATAGACTGTAGATAGATAGATAGATAGATAGATAGATAGATAGATAGATAGATAGATAGATACATAGATACATAGATTATTAGAAAGAAAGAAAGAAAGAAAGAAAGAAAGAAAGAAAGAAAGAAAGAAAGGATTAGTTAGAAAGAAAGAAAGAAAGAAAGAAAGAAAGAAAGAAAGAAAGAAAGAAAGAAAGAAAAGAATTAGTTAGAAAGAAAGATGGATTTAAAAGAAAGAAAGAAAGGATTAGTGAGAAAGAAAGAAAGGATTAGTGAGAGAGAAAGAAAGAAAGAAAGGATTAGTTAGTTAGAAAGAAAGAAAGAAAGAAAGAAATATGGATTAGAAAGAAAGAAAGAATTAGTTAGAAAAAAAAGATGGATTTGAAAGAAAGAAAGAAAGAATTAGTGAGAAAGAAAGGATTAGTTAGTTAGAAAGAAAGATGGATTTGATAGATAGATAGATAGATAGATAGATAGATAGATGGATTATTAGAAAGAAAGAAAGAAAGAAAGAAAGAAAGAAAGATGGATTAGGTAGAAAGAAAGAAAGAAAGAAAGAAAGAAAGAAAGAAAGAAAGAAAGAAAGAAAGGATTAGGTAGAAAGGAAGAAAGAAAGATGGATTAGGTAGAAAGAAAGAAAGATAGATAGATAGATAGATAGATAGATAGATAGATAGATAGATAATTCAAAATAAAGAAAAAGAAAGAAAGAAAGAAAGAAAGAAAGAAAGAAAGAAAGGATTAGTGAGAAAGAAAGAAAGAAAGGATTAGTGAGAGAGAAAGAAAGAAAGGATTAGTTAGTTAGAAAGAAAGAAAGAAAGAAAGAAAGAAAGAAAGAAAGAAAGAAATATGGATTAGAAAGAAAGAAAGAAAGAAAGAATTAGTGAGAAAGAAAGGATTAGTTAGTTAGAAAGAAAGATGGATTTGATAGATAGATAGATAGATAGATAGATAGATAGATTATTAGAAAGAAAGAAAGATGGATTAGGTAGAAAGAAAGAAAAAAAAGAAAGAAAGAAAGAAAGAAAGAAAGAAAGAAAGAAAGAAAGAAAGATGAATTAGGTAGAAAGAAAGAAAGAAAGAAAGAAAGAAAGAAAGAAAGAAAGAAAGAAAGAAAGAAAGAAAGAAGGATTAGGTAGAAAGGAAGAAAGAAAGATGGATTAGGTAGAAAGATAGATAGATAGATAGATAGATAGATAGATAGATAGATAGATAGATAGATAGATAGATAGATACACAGATAGATACATACATAGTCTATACATAGATAGATAGATCATTTGGACACAGAAAGTCAAATAGTTAAGACAGGCAGATGGATAGAAGAGGATAAAAGGAAGAGTAGAAAGGAGAAGAGATTAGGAAAGGAGGGTAGAATAGGAGGACAGGAGGAGTAGAGGATTGGAGGAGGAGAAGAGGAGGGAAGAGAGAGGGAGAACAGGAGAAGTAGAGGCATAAAATGCAACAAAAACTTGTAGTATCCTTCAGAAAAGAGCTGAGTGACTTTCCACCAATCAGAACACAGGACCAATTATGTGTGTCTCCCTTTGATCTTTGCTAATCAGCATCACCTGTGCAATCAGCTTTCCTATTTAGACAGAGGCCAAAATTGCTGATACTTGGCCTCGAACAAACCTCAATAGAGACAAAACTATAGGTTGTATTGGCGAAATGACCTGACCGTGAGCGAGACAAGGCCTTTGTGAACGATGTGATGTATTTTTTTTGTGGATAGAGTTAAAAAAAGGACCACTTTGGCAAGTTAAAAAACTGGTTTGTATTGCTCTGATCACAAAAGTTTGACCTGAATTTATAATTGCTGTCAATGGAGGAATGTCTGTCACTCTTGTCCTTTGGAAGGACACAGTGAAAAAACTATAAGTCCCAGGGATTTACTAAACACATGAGAGGAACCACAACAAAAATACCTACGTTTCAAGTATAATTTTATGCCCAAAGAGTGAAAATTGTGGCCAGGCCAGCGATTTAAAAATTATTTTTTAGCATTAGGTTTCAAGCTGGCTCACTCTAGCACGTGCTCTAGCTCTGAACAGTCTCTCTCATTCACTCCCATTATAATTTCAGAAACGGGTTGAAAAACATCATGAGACTAAAGTAGAGATTGTGAAAAAAGTATAATAGATATCAAAAAGTTGAATACAACTTTAATAGCTTACAAATTTCTCAACATTTTAAAGTTTAAATGACAGAAATAGCTGAAAGTATGCAGAAGTTGTAGGCTTTGAAAGCAGAAGGAGCATAAAACAGAATTTGAAGAATTCTCCATTGACTTCCATGTTAAAAAATATGCACAAAAAGTTTAATAATTTAAAAATTATAAAGGTTATAAAAAAGAAAAGTAATAGCACACATGTCCTTGAAAAGCTGCACATTTTGATACTTGAATGGTTTTTGTAGCACAAAGTAGAGAGGAGAAGAAAGCGACCGAAAAACGTACGGAAGAATACGGAATAATAATAAGAAAGATTTGGATTTCAAGAGTGTGAATGCTTGAAGCATTCACACTAAATATATTCCAGTCGCGTCGATTGAGTAGGCCTTATAATGGTCGCGACCTTTCTTGATGCAACATTTCTGTTGGTGCAAATTATCATGCTTTTGTTTTCAGTCATTTATAAAAATCAATGTACCTTGTTTTAGCCTTATTTTATTCATAACCTGAATTAAAAATAGATATACTGATGTAAGGTTGATAGTTGTAGTGGGATCGAGTGCAAGTGTGAAAGAAGAACGGTGTAAAAAAGAAAAGATAAAAACGTTGGGCTAAATAAAAAAATGGCTCTATACATGAACATTTAAAGCACTGTTTACAAGGTTACATGGGTCAAAAACAACTAAAACAATAACTCTATGTGCATTTTGACAGTAAAGTAAAAATTTGAATCCGCCTGACTGGGCCAAGAGATAAAAATTGGCACAGGTAAGTGTGTCAGTTATTACAGTAGTTAGATGTGAAAATTGTTTAAAGTTCACTTACATTCAAATTTGTTATATTTTTAAAGCTTAATAAATGTTTAAATGTATAGCTTTCAATTATACGATAATTCTGAATGGCTATAGCCTAATTAATGGCTACATAGTAGCATTGGTATCAGTGATACTGGCCTTCATTCATAAAAGATGCCATTAAACAAATATTTAAAATATAGACTAGCCTACTATCTTTATGCTGTTCAATTTGGAGAT